TGATGTCTTCTTTTTGAAGTTTCAAATTGTACTGTATACCTTTAAGTTATATTAAAAGTAGTCACACTCAGTCTTGAATCTGATAAATCTTGACTAATTCACAGAATTTTGACTTGTTTTAATCACACTTTAGATGGGAGTGATTTCGGCTTCAAACATCAGATCGCAAAATACCGTATCTTACGTTTGCTACTGACAGAGATAAACACTTTTGACAAATATTTGGTAGTATAATCAGGAGAAATGCTATTTTAATGCTGTTAAAGCTTTGACACTTTATATGCTGACATAGTAAGAAAACTAGCTATCAAAATCATATATTTACATATATTACGGGCATTTAAAAATTCAAGTTTTTCTTATTTTTCTGTAAAAACTGTACTCAACATAACATTTTTAAAAAACATTCTGGTCATCGATCGATCGATATGAATCGATATTAGTTCGAAATAATTTATAAATTATCGTACATAAATTCAAAAAATTAAATTTTCAAACGGTTACTAATTAAGCGGTTTTTAACATTTATTTGTTTACAAAATTTTAAAGTATAGTCATTTCCTTGGATGAAAGAAATTAAATTTGTTAAGGATTTAACAAGTTTTTAAATAGTGAACGTGAAAATTAGTATAAGTTTTCATTGTTTATAGTTTTTTTTGACAGGATACAGTATAAACGTTTATTGTTTGCCAAAAATATGGTTACAGAAGTTTTGTAAAGCACTTAAATTATTGTCACTCAAGACATATTCATATTTTCATGTTGTTAATGAGATCAAGCAATAAACTCAAACATTGTCCCCCAGTTCCTCACTAAGAGTGGTAATAGTGAATAGTAATAAATAGAAGAGAGCTTCTAATACCAATATTTTATTATTACATAGTTAACTGTAAGAAGTAGGCTTTCTACGATTAACTTACATCAATAAAATATTTATTGGTTTCAGAGCATCAGATTATTTTCAACAACTTGTCAATGCTCGAATATAATCAAACGGGGATTTACTGCATTATCATCTAAAAAGAAGCACACCCATCACATATTCCCGAAAGACGATAAATATTTTATGTCATAATTCAACTCGGCTATAAAAAGGGTGAGCGCAGAGACTAGTACAGTTATGAAATGATTTTGTTTCTCTTGGGAATACCGTGTATCTACAGTTTGTACATGGAAATGTTGATTTTTCCTTTAATCTAGGAAATAAAAATATTCCCAAGCTACGGAGACGATCGTGATTTGAACACGGCTCTGTCTTTTGGATGTTTTACAAGATTCCGTATAAACATTTTCGTAGAGGAATCTGTTTAGCTGCATTGCAGTGTTTTCACAGAATGTTTTCAATTTTTTTGAAAACAGTTACTTTTGCCATCAGTCTATGATTTTGTTTATGAAGTATATTATCTTAGGCATTTTTGCTACTGTACTTGCCTAGGAATTTCATTTTTCCCATATTAAATCTTTATTTTTTAAATATCATTTCTGAAGTTTTAATACCGTATTTGTAAACTGTCTAAAATGCTCAAACAACTAATTATTTAGGCTGCCTGAACGTTTATTAAACATTTTGTAATCACAAGTTAAGTTTCTGTTACTGTCTAAAAGGTAAGCATGTTCATTTGCTAGCATATCTAAATGAAAAAGGTGATTGAAATTTTCAACTTGCCAATTGAACATGGTTGAGTAGTTACTTTATTTGTATGTCGGTGTACAGATGATAACGTGATTGTACTGCACTTTCTTGTCTGCATGCTAAAGTAATCCTGAGTAGATAAACACTCTTCTTCTCCAATCAGAATAATGCAATAATCGTCAAATGTGTAGTAAAAGTAATCTTGTAAAAAGTAGTCTTGTAGTTTTGTTTCTATGATCCTTAACAGTTGCTTGGTGCTGCCATCTCTCACCAAGTAATGGCGCAGATTATACTTTCCAGAGAAAGTCTTTTCGGATATTGGTAAAATGTTAGTACTATTACAGCTTAGAATGCAGATTTTATGTAGTATTACATTCTGCAGGTGTTGCTGATGCTGCTGGTTGTCGTCGTGATGTTTTCCTAGTACTATGTCGGTAGGATTTAACATAATCGGTGGTTTTTGGGTAAGTCTAATGTGGTTTGTGTGTTTATGTTTAATTTCTCTTATTTTTTTCGGTGTTGAATTATTCGAAATTGCATATTTTTTTGTTGTTTGTACTGTTTTATAAAGTTCATTTTTCTTTAAGAGATCGCTGTTCACGCGTTTGAGATCAGCATTTTCACTGCAAAGTGTTTCTACTTCCTTATGAGCACTTTTTAATTCCAGAGTAAGTTCCTTAATCTGTTGTCTCAGTTTTTTTATAAGTTCATGTTGGGTAGTAGAATCTAAGTTTGAAAGGTAAGGCAGACTAGTGGAACTATCTTCACTAAATAAAAATATTGATACTGCACTTTGATTGCAGACTGTACTAGAGTTCAAAGATGCGCGTTTTCGACGAAATGTTATATTGTCGAGAAAGTTCGTTTTTTTCTTTCCCAGATAATCTTAATTATAAATTGTAAATTCGGAAGTCAAGTGGTGCCCTCTTATTTATTACTTTCGTCCCTTTATAGCGCGCTATCAGTTTAGTGGTAAGGTTAAGTTAATTTTTGTTAGTCACCACTAGAGGCTGTTACTTACTTCAGATCGTCTAGGTAGCTCAATAGTGTGTTGTATGTGTACTTTATAATATAAAACTTGTGAAGAAATTTAAATACTGTTTCTCACAAAAATACCTTCTTCATACTGAGTTTCGATCTGCCACCTTAGCAAATCCAAAGCATTGTCAATATCTAAAATGCCACACGATCAGATGACGAGTGATATTAAAATTTAACACTACTTTCTACCAAATTAATTTTTTTAATCACCTAATCGGTGTCAAGTGACTCATCGCTTAGGATTTTTTTTTCAGATTCCTATCACCTACTTCACAATATAATGATTGACTATTTTGTTATCACTGTTTGTGCACCATAATGTTCACTGAGAGGATGTTAGTGTATGAAGTAAAGTATTTAACACTGTTTTATATATTTTTTTATGTTTATTAAGATTTTAAAGATAACTGAATTTTTTTATTGTTCTTACATTGTTATATAGTTCATATATACTCGATAACGTTAGTACACTTCTCACAAACCGTCAAAAATTTATTTTATACATATTTTGTAACGTTAACACTTCAAACTTTTTTAAAATCGAAATGCATACGGAGCTTATTTTAATGCGTCGTCGTTACTATACTATATTTTTATAATAAAATCCTAAATAATAGACAAGACCTAAGAATAAACATTAAAATCCGCAATAAAAATTTATTTCAGAAAGCCTATTACTTAATTGTGGATTACATAGGAGACAAGAATGCTTGGGATTAATTTATATATTTTTTTTTTTTTTTTTTTCTAGGCTATTTCGACAGGTATAATTTTTATTATATTTATTTTGCTGAGAATTTGATAAAACAGAGATTGCTGCTATTATCTATGTCTTTACATGATATAAAAGATGGTTTCAAACAATTTTAAACATATTTATGAAATAAAGATATATTTGAGTTGAGTTGAGTTATCACTAAATGGTAACCAAGTAGGCGGTAACATTGCAAAGTTAAGTATTCCTAGTCAAGTCAGTCTATGGATGGTTGACCATTCTTAACAGACTGAGCTAACAAGCTAACAACTCGAAGAGCACATTAACCCGTGGGTTCCGGTTGCCATACGTACATTCGTGGCAATCGTTACGGGTAGTTGGAGTCATAAAAAGACCGACAACAGTCTCTCTACAGAACTTCGATTACGCCTAGACTGCCATCAGATCTTAACAACCCAAGTAGGGTTGTGAAGACCTGATGGCAGTTGCTACAAAGAAGTTCTGGAAAAAGTTTCGGAGGAAAATTCTTTAGATCTAAAACATATGTAAAGGTATATTCTAACATGGAATCGTTTCTGGAAAGATTCCTACTATGCTGAGTGTTGTGGGTTCGATCCCCACATGGGACGACACTTTGTCATGTGTGATCCATAAATTGTCGTTCTGAGTCTGGGTGTTCTTTGTGTCCGTTTCATGGATGTTTGTCAAGTTCCCCGCGACATAGGATATATTCCTAGTGCGAGAGATGTCTTTAAAAAAACATAAAAAATGTGACTCTGAAGCAAATACTGCGCTACTTGTGTACTTAACGTTATCTTCTAATAATATTTTTTGCAACAATTTATTTACAAATAGATTTTGTTAACTCCATATCTTTTATAATCTTGCTTTAATTACTATCAATCTTACTAATCGAAAATTAAGATAATTTGATGGTATTTCCACGATTTGTAGGGTTTGCCCGCGACTCCGCCTACGCGTATGTTGGTAATCGCGGTAAAAAATAGCCTTTGTTACTCGATGATAATGTAACTTTTCATTGATAAAAGATTTTTTTAAATCGGTTTAGTGTAGGCTTAACAAACAAGCAAACAAACAAACTCATTTTCACATTTAAATATATTTTTCAACGGCGAACATAAGATATTGGACGACCGAATGGTGTAGTGGTTTGTGTAACGGACTGCTATTCCAAAGGTCGCGGGTTCGATTCCCGCTCAATTTAAACATTTGTGTGCATGAACAGTTAATGTTTGATTTGGTCTGGGTGTTTCTATGTATAATAATTATGTATTTACAAAAAAAAAAGTAGAAATGTATTAATATCAGTTGTCTAGTACTCATAGTACAAGCTTTGCTTAGTTTGGGACTAGATAGCATTGTGTGGATGTGGTAGAATATTAAAAAAAAACTTACTATTCTTTTATACATAATTTGGAAAACCCTTCTCCTTACAGATAAAGTATCAGATATAATTCAATCAATCCACATTAAACAACTATATTTAGTCTTATCTTATTGATTTAGAGATAATATGTAATTTATTTTGGTATATAAATTAGATCGTATTCAAACATCATTAACTTTTGATCCGGAAAGGAAGGCAGCACCATGAGTCTCATCACCCTATTAGTCGTTTGTATCGCGGCTGTTACCGGTAAGTTAGTTAAATATACCTATTATTAAAACTTTATTCATAAACTAACACATTTGGATTAGGTTCTTTCAGACAGTCCAAATAGCCAGATTTAAGTTTTGATTAGTTCTATTCCTACACACGGCCAATTGAAAACTCTGGTAGGGTGACAGCCCAAGGGAGTTTCCACACGATTACTCTACAATCACAGAAATATATGTTGATCAATTAAGTACATTCCGTGTGAACAAATAAAGTGTCAAACCGTGTGGAAAGTTTTATCTCTAACATTACTAGAATATAAAACTAATTTGTAATAGCAGTTTGTGCGTGTGTGCTTTACATACTCGTATCATGTATGAGTCATTACGTATTCTTTACTTAAATTAAAAAAGAACCATAAGATATTTCGTGTTTTATATTTTGTATCCAAATCGTAGAATTTATTATATTATTGAATATTTTATTTTATTATTAGTCATCATAAATGGTCTGGCCAGAGCAATACAGTTGTGAATTTAGCATAAAATAGTTACAATATCTACTGTTAGAGGCACTAATATCATTTTGTCAATGTGATGCGTCAAGGTATGTAATTTGACTTTTGTTTTTAGCGAATAATAATGTAAAATTATAGGAAATAACTGCTTTAAGATGTTACTACAACAACTTAAGAGAGAAATATTAATTTTTTTTGAAACTCTTTATATAGGTTATATTAAATATAGAGTAATTAACCCTATATTTACAACATTAAAAACGTCAAATGACAATCATCTAACGTTTACATTGAAACAATCGGTCTTTGGTCTAGCAGCTAAATATTTTATAGAATCGTACTTACTGAAAAGAAAAACTAGAGGCTTTTTTATAAAATGACGACCACTGATTGACTTTTGTGCGTACATTTTTAATGATTCGATTATTTTTACAACTTTTAGCTAACCCACAAATCTTTAGGCCACCTGCGAGGATCGTAGGCGGCACAGTGACGACTATTAACCATTGGCCTTACCAAGCTAATATTATGGTTGGAATCGGACATACCTTCAGCCAATTCTGTGGTGGCACTATCATTAACTATAGAACTGTTTTAACCGCTGCACATTGTGTTCACACCCCCAATCAGTAAGACTGAATATTTTTCCTTTATGAAAGTATGTTGTTATATTTGTTAAAAATATGTAGAATACTAAAAATTTTAATTAAATATTATGTTTTAGCTTTTTCCCAGCTAATTGGTTACGTTTACGTCTTGGGTCAACCTGGGCCAGTAGCGGTGGAGTTGTACACAATGTTGCCCAGAACATCCTTCACCCAAGTTATAACATGCATACAATGAACGGTGATGTTATGCTTATGCGAAGCAGTACCAACTTTGTATACACTAATGTGTTACAACGAGGAACTATCGCCAGCCCTACCTACAACCTACCCGACAACCAAGTAGTTTGGGTAACCGGCTGGGGTCATACATCTGTAAGATTATTTATATTTTTAAACTTTATTTCGATTCTGATACTTTATTCAAACAACAAATTAGTGAAGGGAATTATTAAGGGCCTTTAATTGTCCACTGCTGGACATAGGCCTCTCCTTAGAAGGGAGATTATAGCCTACTATACCACGCTGGCAACGACGCGTCGGTATAGGGTTTGTGTCAAGTTTTCCTTCTCTAAGTCGACGCTTACGACATCCACGGGTTGAATAGGGATGGTGACACTCCGTATTCTTAATCCGTCACCACATGGATATTTAACAAGGAAAACTTAATTTTTTTAATTAGCGAGCAATATTGTTTTAAGAGAATTTAGTGCTTTTTCGACTTTAAAATAATAAACAGATTGGAAAGAAAGGTGTGAAAGAATGCGTTATTAAAACGTTTTTTCATGAATTTTCTTGTTTTTAAGGTTAACGGCGTTGGTTCTGAACAGCTCCGTCAGGTGCAAGTTTATACCATCAACCAGAACGTTTGTGCACTACGTTACGGAGGTTCAGTAATCACCGCTAACATGCTGTGCACCGGTGTGCTCAACGTAGGTGGTCGTGACGCGTGTCAGGGTGACTCCGGCGGTCCCGTGTTCCACAACCGCATTGTTGTTGGTATTACCTCTTTTGGTGTAGGCTGTGGTCATGCCTTCTTCCCTGGAGTTAACGCACGCGTATCTGCCTTTTCTTCATGGATAGTGGCAAATGCTTAAGCCCAATGAAACATTTTGACACTAAAACCACATTTTCACAATTGCAAAAATAATAAATAAAATAGTCATAAAACTAGATTCGTTTTTAATTCATTTTTTCCCATTACTACAAGGTGTACCGGCTATCGTGTTTTTTGCCGCAGCATTGCAGTCATTTCAATAAGTATTGGTATAAAGAAGAAGAATGACTGCACGGATGGCGTAGTGGTATAAGCGGTCGCCACGCCGCTTCCTACTGCGCCGAGTGTTGTGGGTTTAAACCCCACATGGAACGACACTTTGTGTGATCCACAAATTGTTGTTCTGAGTCTGGGTGTTCTTTGTGTCCGTTTCATATATGTTTGTAAAGTCCCCCGTGACACAGGAATGTATTCCTACTGCGGGAGTTGTCTTTAAAAAAAAACAAAAAAACAAATAAGAAGTATTGGTATTGGTTGTGGTCTCATTTAGACTCAAGAATTCTTGACGATAATATTAAAAGCAACCAAATTGGCCCTCCTTATATTCAATGAAGCCATGATATCACTCCGGTCCTAGTGGAGGTTTTCCTCTCGGTTCCTTTTCGCCGCCTCCTTAAACGAGACGATGTCTTCGCCTATGGACGCGACCACCAGGCCCATATATAAAGAAGTATGACTCTTCATATGGTTTGTTCATTATGGTGGTATGGTGGTGGTGGTTTACCACATTGTCCAAAAATTTACATTACAATGCCATGAAATGAGAGTAACGTATTATGAACAATTAAATAAGAACTCCATTCATCAAACTAGTTAACCTTTTGTAGTTATTCATTAAAACATTGTATTTGTATAGGTAAGCTCTACCTAGTTTGGAACTTTGTGTACTTATTATTGTTAGTAGTATGGGAAAATCTGATCCGCAAGCAATACTGCGATATTTTTTGGCAGACTTGTGGTTGGAACTATAAGATTTTCGACGAAATGATTTTAATTCTATCCTTAAAGTGGTTATTCTTACATACTCTTGACACACCCACTTCTAAATTTCAAACTTTCATCTACATACAGTATTATTGCTAAAAACACTTATAAGAGTTTAATCGTTATTTATGTTGTTCGCTACGTCATCAATTCCTACGCTAATATTATAACTCTAAAATGAAGTATTGGTATTGTCATGGAAGAAAATTTGGACTTCAGGCAATACTTCAATTTCCTGATAGGTAATATCAGAAAACTTCTCTACATTTTTAAAACCTTGTTATAAACAAGCTAATCAATTTATAATTGAAAACATGTACTAAGAACTTTGGGCAACAAAAACTGAGATAGAACAGATCAATATTAGAATTTGCTGCATTCCGACCAATTCTATTCTCACCAAAGGATCGAAAAGCATGTAAAGTGCTCAATGTATGGCAATTTTATGTTACAACATCTTCAGACACCATGCATATAAAACCTGAATTTATAAAAGATAAAATTTGTGATGGCACCAACACATACATGCCCGTTTGACCATAGGAAATTTTGCTATATATCTTTATACATCTTTGTATAGCAAAATTAATGCAAACTGTCCAATCTAGGTTAATCACTAACAAACTTCACCTGTAAGCAGACTGTAACAAAATTTGATAGGAGGTACTCAATCCAAAGATATGATAGTCATCATAAAGAATTGCACGGACTAAATTTAAAACTACCATAAATTATGATTAAAGAAATTTATCATTAATGTGTAATTTGCAGAAATGTTATATAATTTGTAAGACATGACACATACACCAAATTAAATGTATATTACTTAACGTTATGTATATTACGTAACTTTCCTTAACCGGATGGGGCAGTGGTTTGTGTAACGGACTGCTATTCCAATGGTCGCGGGTTCAATTCTCGCTCAAGTTAAACATTTGTGTGCACGAACATTTCATGTTTGATTTGGTCTGGGTGTTTTTATGTATAATATGTATGTATTTACAAAAAAAAAGTATATAAGTATTTATATCAGTTGTCTAGTACCCATAGTACCTACAAGCTCTGCTTAGTTTGGGACTAGATGGCGTTGTGTGAATGTGGTAGAATAGTATAGTATATTATTATTATTAAGAGAGTGGTGTTAAAATAAAAGTTATCAACATGTGAAATACCGTAATATGTATGTTACATGAAATAATCACAAAATAAATTACAATCGGTGAAGTGCCCTAAGTTGGTGCTAAAGGCAAAACTTTGAACCCTGATTTTAGGTTGGTGATTGTGTATTGATGCTCTCAGGTAAATACAAATGCCCGGGGCTAAGTGGTGTTGGCGGTGTCCTTGGACATCGCCAACGCGTTCAACACTATGCCCTGGAGCTGCATCAGGGAGGCGCTCGTGTATCACGAAGTGCCTCTCTACCTCCGCCGCATAGTCGGGCATATTTGTCGGAGAGAGCTGTCGTTTACCCCAGTAGGACCGGTCTCGGTAGGCGTGAAATGTCGTGCGGTGTTCCGCAGGGGTCGGTGTTAGGGCCACTCTTGTGGAACATCGGTTACGACTGGGTGCTTCGTGGTGCCTTCTTGGATGGTGTCGCCGTCATGTGCTACGCGGACGACACACTCATGACGGCGCGCGGCAAGACGCACCACGAGGCAAACCTGAGGGCCACGGCCGGGGTTACCCAAGTCGTTGAGCGTATCCGGCGGCTGGGTCTCGAGGTGGCTCTGCACAAGTCCGAGGCCCTGTTCTTCCACGGGCTTCGGAGGAAGCCGCCTGAGGGATCTAGCCTCACGGTAGGAGGCACTCGCATCGGCATCGAGCCCTCGATCAGGTATCTGGGGCAAGTACTCGATGGCCAATGGGACTTCGGATATCATTTCCGAGGTCTGGTCCCCAAGTTGGTTGGGGCAACGCGTGCGTTGGCGCGGCTGCTGCCCAACATGAAGGGACCCGATGACTCCTGCAGGAGACTCTACTCGGGGGTTGTGCGGTCCATGGCCCTTTACGGATGCCCAGTATGGGCGGGGGCCCTGAAGGCCAGCAACGTCGCGATACTGCGACGACCGCAGCGAGTGCTGGCCATCAGGATCATAAGGCGATACCGCACGATCTCCTTTGAGGCAGCGAGTCTCCTGGCCGGAACTCCACCGTGGGACCTGGAGGCGAGAGCCCTTGCGGCTCTGTATAAGTGGCGCAAGGAGGCGCGGGAGTTGGGTCGGTGTCCCGAGACTCGAGAAATCGATGACCGGAAATCCCAACTCCGCCAGGTCATCATAGGGGAGTGGAAGGAACGACTCGGGCAACCGAGCGGCGGTAAGACCCGTTATAGAGGATTGGCTCGAGAGGCGTCATGGGACCCTCTCATACCGACTGACGCAGGTGATCACTGGGAAAGGATGTTTCTTGGATCACCTGTGTCTGATCCGCAAGGAGCCAACGCCTGAGTGCCACCACTGCGATGGCCAGACCGTGGACACGGCTCTCCACACGCTGGCAGAGTGCCCAGCATGGGTTGAGAAGAGGCGAGACCTCGTGGCGGCCATCGGAGTGGGAGTTCTCTCGCTCGATAGCCTGATTGCGGCTATCGTGCGGAGCGAGAGTGCGTGGAACTCTGCCGTCTCCTTCTGTGAGCAAGTTATGCTCGCGAAGGAGACGGCGGAGCGGGACCGGGAGAGGTTTGGGACTCTCCCGGCCCGCCAGGCCCGGGAACGGGCCAGGTACCGCAGGCGACTCAGGCGCCGGAGTGCGCAGAACGACCTCCGTCCTCCGTAAGCGCAGGCCTGGGGGTGACAGGTGAATCCATCTGTCACCCTAGCAGAAGCAGGCCGGGGTGGCGGCGAGCGCCTTGCGAAGCGCGCTCGCTTCCAGGGAGCACAGGGAACATGGGGTTTCCACACGGGGGGGGAGGGTCGTCTACTCGTCTGTAGATGACCCGAGGTATGTCGGGGCACCAGGGACTTCCTTTCTAGGGTATACCTGGTTCCCCGGCTATTAGTACCCGAGACGGCGTGCGGCGCGTTTAGTCGGTTCGAGTCCGATAGCCACCAGCAGGTGATATCCGAGGGGATTTCCACACGCAAAAAAAAAAAAAAAGGTAAATACAAATGATTTAACTCACTTTTTTTGTGCTGTTGTACCATTTAATAGTGTAATTTTTGCAGGTTTTGTTGGTTATTCTTTTCCAGTATCAGAAGTTCTTCACACTGATCACTCCGACGTGCATGTGAACGTAAGATGTGATAGAAGACGTACTACCGATCCGGTGAGTACTGCTGATGCTTAAAATTAAAACTGTTGTTTGTCATGTTAGTAGAGAATGATTAGAAAAATAAAAATATTTTGATTTAGGATGAAGTTTTAGGGAAGAAGTGATTCTTCCTTTTCAGTGAAAAGTTTAAAAAAAAAAATTTGCAGAATATGTATTAACTTTAGGGCTGACCCCAACCTAGTTTTGTAAAAAAAGCTCGAAGGAAGAATTCTGATATGTAATGTACACACGGGTATGATAGTTAAAAGTGTGTTTATTGTTGATGCCATCTATACTAATATAATAAAGTTAAAATTTCGTTTATTCGTAATTTCGATATCTAGAACTAACAGTCAGAACATTTGCTCCGTGGTCAGAACTAATCCAGCCTCGAACCAATAACGGCTTTTAAGAAAAAAGTCAGTAATGTAACACCCCATAGACTAAATATTTTTGTATTGTATTTAGTTGACTTTAAGTTTTCATAAGAATAAAGTTCTTTAAACTTGGATTAAAATAAATACTGTATTCGACGAGAAAAGTCAAAGGCAATTTTACAATTTTTACAAAATTACGCCATTTCGGAGCGGAATAATGACCATCAACGCAGGTGAACCTACAATCTAATTTATAAAATTCAATGTATTTTATGCGCTGTCGTAGCGATAATCCGATAATCATGTAATTTTGCATACATGTTACTAGGAATATAGATAAGGACATAGGTTACCTTTTATACAGACACAAAGCACTTTTCTCGAAGGATGGATAAATTACTTTTACGGGAGCGATGGCGTATAAAAGTAATTTAGTAAAGAATAAAGAAAGAACGCAGAAAAAATATGCAAGGGTGCTTTTAACTATTATGTAGCTTAATTTACGAGTATGTTGATGGTAATGGACTTTTCATAAATGATTTTAATGGACATTATTTTTTTATCTGCTGCCGGTAAAACTCTAATAAACATTAAAGTAACTAGACAGATACACGAGGTAGAAGATGAAAGTACAAAATGTTTAATTCCTCCTGTTACTTCGCTTGTCAGTATATTTTATTTTATTATTAGCATTATTATTAACTCTTCTCTTGACTCATTGTTTGTTCTAGAAATGAGATCAAAGTGCTGATACGGTTCAGATCATAAGGGCGATGTTTTAATCATTATGCTTCCGAGCGTTTTATGTTTAATAAAAAATAACCTTGTTGTGTGATTCCTCATTCCAAAAGGCAATGTAAAATTATCTCACTTCATTAAAATAATTGTTATGTAAATTAATCTACTATATAAAATCACGAGATATTGTCACAGTGTAGTCGCACTTCTCCGAAACGGCGCGACCGATTTTCATGTGTTTTTTATATTTGATAGGTGTGAGAATAGGTCGTTAAAGATTTTTTATTTTTTTATTCTTGATTTTAGTAGTTTTGTATGAACATATTTTTAAATAGCAGCAAAACGTTGGCCGGATCGACTAGTAAATAAATATAAATAGAGTCGAGATAAGATTCCGTTGTATCTTTTTTATCTTTGTTTTCCACGTAAATAATTTGGTGGAAGTAAATAAAACCCAGCGATAAACGAAAAAAAAAATTAAGAGCCTCATAACGTAAGTAATTTTATGAATTTTCCATTAATTCAATAGCATAATTGGAAAAGTTTGACCACAAAACGTGGGGATGCCACAGGAAGAACTATAAAATTGCAGTTAACAGAGACTGAACGACTTCTCAATATCATTATTCTGAAATACGATCTAATTGAGTGGCCTACCCTGTCCCTCGGAGACTATAATGGGAGCTAGGTCCCCAGGCTAAATTGTTCCTTGGTGATTGCTAATTTACTTATTACAAACGACCTCCCTATTAATTAACCGTTTATTGTATAAAAGTATCTAAAAGTAAATCATGAACTTTATTTCCATAATACTAATATTGTAATTTTATCGGTTCGGTGAGATTCAGAATTTGTTACTTTCTTCTTAGTATCTGATAGATCTGTTAATGGCACCGAAACGGAGAATATTTTTTAAATTTAATTTTTAAACAAATCTGTTTGTCAAGGCTAAATAGTTTTGAGGTATATTTTCATCATATGTGTCAGTGCCCACATCTGCCTTTATTATTTGTAGGAAACAAACCAAAAGATTACATGCGTAGAATTTTTGCAGCCTTTGAAGCCTTTACTATTTACCGTCTAGCTCAGTCGTCAGTACATTAGTGAATCTGAATAGTTGATATTAAATTTTATCATAATAGTTTAAGTTAAATTACTTTATTTTACTGTTTACTGTTTAATGTTTGAAATTTTAGTACGAAAGGGAGTCCAAAAGGGGGATGGTGAAAAGGGATAAAGTAGCATTGTAATTTTGCTTGTGAAAAGAGATCACACCTTTATAGGGGCAAAGGTAACCTCTTGCTGCTTCGGAGATAATTCTTTGATAACTTAAATGAATTAATTAAATTTATTATTACTATCTGAAATATCAGTGTTTTGTTATGAACTCTTAAGTAATTAGCACATGGTGTCACCTTTACTTGGCCATTGATAGTAGGCCAAAACCTCCTTTCTAAGGAGAGGCCTATGTCCAGCAGTGGACTATTAAAGGCTGTTGATGTAATGATGTGATGATAAGAGAGTCACATTAAATTTACTATTTCGTTACAGACGTCTTAAGAAAAACAAATTGTATGTAACTGTACAGAGTTATACAAGAATTTAATCAATACAACTACTGTCCATTGCCCTGGCCGCTATTCAGTACATCAGCAGTTTTTGTAATAAATCTCTGTTAACCGTTCAATTTAATGGAAGCTCGACAGGATTGTCTTGCCGTAAATCTGTGTCGGCGAAGCGGTGAGACCGCACCGAGTCTTTTGTCACTTGTCCACAACCGTCTCTTGCTCTATCGCCTTTGTAAGTAGAGATAATTCAGTAGTTTCATTGTTAAAAGTTTATTAACTAGTATTTAAAGTCTAGTATTTATTAATGTATAATTTTGACACCGTCTAAGAACAATATACCTGCTTTATATTTACTATTTATAAATCGTACCTACGTAGAAATAAAGCTAAATCAACTGTTGAACAAACTAAAGTTTCTGCCAATCAAACTGCGTGAGTTTGTTTATTTGTAACGATTTCACGCTTTAACAACTGAATCGGTTATATTATCAGAAAATCATACTTAACATGCATTAAAAGAAGTTTTTAAAAACGTTTTCAAGGACACAAAAAATGGCACAGAGCACACTTCATTCAGAAAAGAATTACTGAAGCCTCCTTCAGAAGAATTACCAGAAATTCTATTAACTAAAGTAGCAAAAGCTAGTATACAGTATTTTAGATTCCATCTAACTTATTTGAATAACAAATGTAAGTAACAAAGCATTTCGAAACTAGTTATTTAAATTTCTATATCATTTATTCTACGCTTGTTATCAAGATCCTTCAAATACAAGGTGTTTCTCTATTTTGACCGTTTTCACTGATACCTTATTTTATATGAAACTAGCTTTTGCGTCTCCGCCTGAGTATTTGTTGGTTATTGCGATAAAAAGCCTATGTCCTTCCACAAAAATCAAACCATCTAGTATGCCTTTTATGTATGGCTAGTATGTCTTTTATCTAATTTTCAATTTCTTTTTGTTTTACTTCACTTTCTTTTTTCTTAGATGATTTTAGGGATAATAACTTATTGCCTTCTCCGGGAGTCAAACTATCTTTATGTTAAATTTCATCTAAATCGGTTTAGCGGTTAAAGCGTGACGACACACTTTCGCATTTATAATGTTATATTATACATTATATTATGTTCACATTCGCATATTCGCATTTTTATATAAAATCAAAACTATGCTCCGGCACAAATGGGTAAGCTCGAACCTCGTGATACCATGGCCTCATAGAAAACTGGTGTTAAGCGACTCTACCGTTTCTTTTCACCGAGTGAGTGAGGTTATCAGAGCCCAAACATTCTCGCCTCCTTATTTAGGAAGATTCAAGCGATAATTGTGAAAGTTATCACCTGCAATTGTCACTGATACGGGTATCTTTTACCCAAACACAAAACTAATTCGAAACATTTAGTAAAAACTAGTAATGGCATACATGAAATAAGGACTAAAAATGTCACAATTTACAAGATGAAGAAATCTATTGTACTTGGACTACTTTATTTTGTATTTCTAGTACTAAGACAATGCGGCATACGAAATGTTCGTTAATCACTGCAAATAGCGATCGAAGTTCCTTCAATGCAGCATTCTCTGGGTTTAGTAGAAATTTATACTTTATTCAAATCTGTAAGCTTTTAAATCCATTATTTCCTAATAGAGTCTTCGGGATTAAAGTAGAAGAGGGCTTTTTAATAAAGGGCCATTCGATTGATAGTCGGCTGGGATACATAATACCCGAATATTTAAATGGCAGACGCTATTTAAATATTGGGGTATATAATGAACTAGCTTTTGCCTGCGGCTCCGTCCGCGTATATGTCGGATATCACGTTAAATAGAAGCCTATGTCCTTCTTCAAAAATCAAACCATCTCCATTCCAAATTTCATCGAAATCGGTTTAGTGGTTATTGATTTTTCCTTCCCCTTTTCAGCTTCCTAAAGTATGATTTCTGGGATTAAACTATCCTTTGTCCTTTCCCGGGATTCAAACTATCTTTATGCCAAAGTCCATCTAAATCGGGGCAGCTGTTTAAGCGTGAAGGGGTAACAGACAGGCAGACACACTTTCGCATTTATAATATTAGCATGGGTAGTAAAATGATACATTTTGTATTGAAACGACAGTGTTTCGAATTCTGTGGATAACTTAAAAATCATTCTCCAAATCATCCGTTGAATGCTTTATGTGGTACAATAAGTTTTTTTGGATGTGTTTTTATTAACTTTTAGGTATATATTAATCTTGAAGCAATTCTGTTATACCCTTCTCATCTCCGTCTGGTTTTGAACTGGGTACGATGAAAATACAAAGTCAGTGCGCCATGCTTTCACAATTTTTAACCCATATTACTTAAATCTC